ACAAGAGAGGACTGGAATACGTTCCTTTCAAGACATCCCTTCGTTACCCATCTCGCGCGATCCCTTCCGACGACAACCAGGTCGAGAACGAGTCGCTGCGCCTCTGTAGACATCGCGCATCTTCGTCGACGAATAGAGACACAAAGTGCACTGAACCGTGACGAGGTATCCCCAGACGTCGAGTTGATTCGTGGTATCTGGGTCATTCGCGACTTTATCAAAGCGACGCCTTCGACACCTACGACCTTCTCGTCGACCTACCTCACTTGATCCATCTGCATCGCATTCCCGCCGCTCCCGTAAGCTCGGCATCGATCGCAAACCCGTCGCATCGCAAGATACGCGCGCATATCTGCACCTACCTACCTGTCGAGCAGACATTGTAGGGGAGACATTCACTTGTTCATCTCCCACATCTGGTACGCATTCTTTTTTCTGGTTGTTGCTGGTGGCCCTTTACGCACCTTCCTCCACTGTCGCCTCCTTCCTGCCTCGCCCGAAGCCGCTGTTGGTGGGCTCCCATTGGCTCCTCTCCACAGACAACCAACAAACCCCCCACACCCTGACGACCTCACCCAAGTCTACCCAAAACACAACGAGCAGTCTCGTTGCGAACCACTTCACTCGATACTATCAGTTCTTGGAATCGCAAAGAGCATCTTTTCTTCTTCTTCTTAGCAACACTTCCACATTGCTATCACAATATATTCAAACACTAACCAGCCTGACTCAGATCTGCTGTCTGTTCCCTCGGTATTTGGGTCACCCGTAAACCGCAAACATGGAGGCAATTCAAACCCATCCCACTAGCGCTGCACAGGCTAAGGCCTTCACCGCTCCTGGGTCTCTCTCCTTCCCCGGCGGCGCTCACGAGCTTCCTCCCGCTGCGAACGGCGATAAGGCGGCGGCCAACGGACAGGCTCCTGTCGCCAACGGTCAGCCAGTTGCAAACGGTACCGGGGTGACTCCCGCGACACCCGCTGCGACGCCCGCTGCTACGCAAGGTGGCAGCGGCTTGACTCCTACGTTGCAGTATGTATATCATGAGTGATCTTTTTTCCGATCAATGAGGCTTATCTTGCCCACTCAAGGAACATCGTTGCCACGGTCAACCTCGATTGCCGCTTGGACCTCAAGACGATTGCCCTGCACGCGAGAAACGCAGAGTACAACCCCAAGGTATTACTCACTGGTTGAGACTATCATCACTGCGATGCTGACGTACTTGACCCATAGCGTTTTGCTGCTGTCATCATGCGTATCCGCGAACCCAAGACCACCGCTTTGATCTTTGCTTCTGGCAAGATGGTTGTTACTGGTGCCAAGTCTGAGGACGACTCGAAGCTTGCCTCGCGCAAGTACGCTCGCATTATTCAGAAGCTGGGATTCAACGCCAAGTTCACGGACTTCAAGATCCAAAACATCGTCGGCTCCTGCGACATCAAGTTCCCCATTCGCTTGGAGGGTCTTGCTTCGCGCCATCACAACTTCAGTTCCTACGAGCCCGAATTGTTCCCTGGTCTCATCTACCGTATGATCAAGCCGAAGATCGTGCTCCTTATCTTCGTCAGTGGCAAGATTGTCCTTACCGGTGCCAAGGTCCGCGAGGAGATCTACCAAGCCTTCGAGATGATCTACCCTGTGCTTCAGGGTCAGTGCACATCTTTTTGTCCCACCATGTTCTTTCAACTAACAGTTTGCAGATTTCCGCAAGGTCTAAACAACCTGAAGCTGAGGAGGGATCGTCGACTCACGTCGATGTACCACCATATCGCCCAACATCGCCGATTTGTACGATTAGACACCCTTTCTTCACGATACCACGATTGTTTTTTCCCCGCACATCATACAAAAAAAATAGCGAGCGTTCGTCACCTGGCAACTTGGCCATGACCCAAGTCGTACCCGACGCTCGTTTCTGTTTCTGATTTTTCCGCTGCATTGCATTGGCGTTGGTAAAGGAGGTAAAACCTGGGCCGGAGGCATCCGGTCAGGTGGTTGATTCAAACGAAAAGAATAAGATTTCTCATACCGCAGCACTACATAGATTGCTCGTGGCATCGTCGACGGCAGATGCGCTGGTCGACTTTGCCGTTCTTTAATGGAAGCGACTTAGATGCATGGGGGTCTAAGACTGGAAGGAAGAGGAACGGATCGGACAGGCACGAGAGACATGAGATGAACTGGTGTTACCTTCTGGACAGTGGGTCGGAAGGAACTGAGGGTGATGAGAGAGAAAACAGGTCTGCGATGTCGAGTCACCTCGCTTTCGGGTGGTCGAAATGATCACTTGGTCTTACTCTGCTGCCTTTTGATCTGCGGGTTAGATGCGAGCTGAGAAGTAGGCATTACTCTTTTAGCACAATGCCATAACCTGTTTCATGAACACTTTGCAGTCTTAAGTGATCAAGCATATTAGTATTGTGCCTTCGTGATCCCTGTGAAGTAGAAGAATAAAGGTTGCCTGTGTCATACGATATTATGCTCCTTTGTAGCTACATTCTACACAGCACCCCACAAAGGCTCTACGGTCTGTGTCGATGTCTATATACGTACATCCCCGCAACGTTTCTACAGCTTAGCTTGCTCTTGCTTCAGCAAAAGACCCGGGATGCCACCTCTGCTTCCGTCCTCGGTCATGATGTGCTCGTACAAATCAGTCGCGTCCGCCTTACTCTTGACCTCCCTCCACCGCCACTTCTCAGTGAACACCTCGTCGCCGCGCCCCTCGAGCACGTTGACGATCTCGCGGCCCAGCACGGGCAGGAACTTGAAGCCGTGGCCGCTGCCGCCCGTCGCGACGAAGAGGTTCTTGGCCTCCGGGTGGTGGCAGACGAGGAAGTCACCAGACTGGGTGTCTGTGTACCAGCACAGGCGGGTCTGGACGAAGGGGCGGTCGTGGATGGCGGGGATGGGCACAATGGTGCGGACGGCCTGGCGCAGGGCGGCCTCGCCCTCCTTGGGGAACTTGAGCCTCGGGTCCGTGAGGTGCGTCGCGGGGAGGGAGACGGTGGACCTGGCGGATGGCGGGGTCGACGGTGAGGGGTGGGGGATGGGCGTCGGGTTGAGGTAGCCGAAGGCGTGGCGGGCGACCTTGAGCTGGAGACCCGCGGGGGGGATCATGAAGAGGCCGGTGCTGAAGTTGAGGGTCACGGGCATCTTCCGGAGGACCTCGAGCTCCGACGGGGTGATGTCGATGTAGCCCACCGCCTGGCCCGTGGCGATGGCCTGCCCGGAGAGGTCGATGAGCTGGCCCGTCCAGGCGCCGGCGGCGACGACGACGAGGTCCGCCGAGAGGACTCTGCCGTTGTCGAGCGTCGCGCCGGTGACTGTTGTCCCGTCGAGGCCGTAGTTCAGGCGGGTCGCGGTGCCGGACACAAAGCTGACGCGGTTGAGGGCCTGGACCTTGGCGGCGAGGTAAGACATTGCGGCGCCGGCATCAGCCCAGCCCGCGAGGGGGTTGATGTAGCCCCATGTCCCCGGCGCGATGGGCGTGCCGAGGAAGTCCTTGATGGCGGCGGGCGTGGGCAGCTCCTTGATGATCTTGTCGCCGTCCTTGCCCGCCAGGGAGACGACGTTGTTGTAGCTCTCGCGGACGTACTCGAGGGAGGTCTTTTTGGCCTTCTGCTTGGCCTGGGCGTTGGTGTTTACAGTTTGCGACGAGGGCGAGGGGGAGGAGGAGTAGGCGGAGGAGGCCGTCGGAGTCGGGTCCGCGACGAGGCAGAGGCCGGACTGGCTGTAGCGGCCCTCGGCGCCGAGGTCAGAGGGGTTCTCGGTCTTGCGCCATTCGGTCTGGGCCTCGGCGGCGAGGCGGGCGTAGGCCGGGTCGGCGTAGTCTGCGCGGATGATACGGGAGGAGTCGACGGAGGCGGCGTCCTCGCTGGGGCCGGGGATGGGAGAGCGGTCGAGCACGGTGATGGTTGTGGATGCGTAGCGCGGGCGCTGGGCGAGCTCGTACGCTGTTGTGAGGCCGAAGACGCCGGAGCCGATAATGAGGACCGAGGAGGGTGCGGGCTCCGCCGCCGCTGTCGGGTCGGAGGGCATAGTGTGCGCTGTGTGTATGCCTATGGCTGCGTGCCTGGAGTTTCGTGTGATTCGGGGCGGGGACCGGCGCGCGGAAGGAGACCGGACGGTTTTGGGAACAATGGTAGATCACGCGAGTTTGATTGGAAGACCAGGGAGAAGTATAACTGGAAACGAGACCAAAGGGACTGGAGGGAAACAATACCTTAAGAAATGCGGAGGATAAGATAGGGCCGGTTGGTTGGGTATGGTGCACGCAGGCGCGGAATCCTCACCGCGAGAGGGGCGTTATCGGAGGGCAGATTTTTTTTTTTTCCCTTGGGAGTGACAGTCGGTGGTGTCTCCCGGGCCTGGGGTAGCTTCGCGTCGGCTTGCTGGCTTGTCGGCATTGGCGGGGTCACCTCGGTCGGTGTACATCTGCATCGTAAGTTTTTTCTGCCCAATTTGGTCTCTGTGAGGGACAACCTGGGAGGGCGGGTGCTTTGCGCGGGGCTGGCCGGTGGCTTTCTGACGATCTGTAATGCCAATGCCGGGTGGGGGGGCTGTCGAGCCTGCAATGGGGAACATCATCCGGGCATCGGTCGGTTCGAGTCCAGGGGAGGAGCCGCTTGGCCTGCGTATTGCATGAAGGGTGTTGGGCGGTGGGTTAGGTGTCGCAATGTGGTGCTCGCGTAGGTGGTTCTTTTTTTCGAAAGCTTGGCCATCTTGATGCAAGCCGTGTGTGACAATGTGATAGTCTTGCGTGAATGACTTGCGGCGACGCTTCCAGAGGAGGTGATCCCTGTCAACAGAGGTTGCGATTGCTCAAGGCGAAAAGAGTACCGGGCCGCTGCGTCGGCTCAAATACCCCGACATTATCCCTCTTGCTGCCGATGTTCTCGATTAAGGCATATTTTGACTCTCCGCTGACGGAGTCGCCTTTGCTTCAAGCCTTTCTTAGTTAGTTTTGGGGATAAAATTAGTAACCAACATCATCAGGCCCAATGGTCTAGAGGTATGATTCGCCCTTCGGGTTTAACCACCCTTCAGCACAGCTTGAATGGGCGAGGCCCCGCGTTCGAATCGCGGTTGGGCCCCTGATACATTTTGCTTTTTGGGCATCAACTCTCGCTCGATCTGACCCGATAACTTGGATCGATCAAAGTATCTATCTATCTATGGATGATGGATGGATGGATTGATAATGCACCACCACATTTGATTTTTGGCAAAGAATACACAAAAATCCAAAGCATTCAATCAAGTCAGTCAGCCAGCCAGTCAGTCACCTGCTCGTAACCCATAAAAGTCGGTAATCAAATGGTTAGAATGTCAGGGGGGATCCGACTGCCGCAGTTCTGGGTCTGCTCAGCTCAACAATCAAGCACTGGACGGTTATGAGGCTGACTTAATAATGACCGTTGGTGGGTTCTAAACAAGGAAACGTCGATGCAACCTGGAACAAAAGACAGCCCACTTCTCTCCAATAGACCGTACGAATCGACATATCCCCGTACTATCCGTACCGTGTGGGGCCGTCGTCACATCCCCGCTTTCAGCTGTCCCACGCCGTCTTCCCTGTCTCAAACCACCTCTCACTCACCAAATCTTCCTTCACAAACAACCCGTCAACAAAAAAAGAGACGACCACATAAAAAATGGTGATGATCGGACTGCTTCTACGATAATCTGGCAATCCGAGGCTAATTTGCGCTCGACAGGCCACCGCAGCTGGGTTGACTGAAGAGCAAAAGGCGCAATACAAGGAGGTGTTTGACCTCTTCGTAAGTTCTCACCCTCTGCCCTCTCTGCCTTGCCCCCCTTTTCTCCCCAACTAGCAGGCTGGCGGCGCATACCCAAACCTACGCCTCCCTCTCTCTCCAACTCGTCCAGCGTTTTTCTAACACAAGAGATAGGACAAGGATGGGACCGGTCAGTGTTTTATGTTCCCGCGAACCCTCATTTTGCTTCGCCTCCTTTCTCGACATAGGAACCTCGACCCTTTTACAGGAGCGGAACCAACGTGGCTTAGACATGTTCCGTCTCATCTTGCTTCTCAAGCTCCTGTCACTTTTGCATATGATTTTTCATCCGATCACGAAAACTGACATATGTCTCTGAAGGTGATATCACCGCCCAGGAGCTGGGCGCGGTCATGAGGTCCCTGGGTCTCAACCCCAGCGACACAGAGCTGAACGACATGGTCAACGAGGTCGACGCCGACAACAACGGCACCATCGACTTCAATGGTAGGTGGCATGTGTCGGCTCGTCGAGATCCAGTGCGTGCTGACATCCAGCACAGAGTTCCTGAACCTGATGGCGCAGAAGGTGCAGGTCGGCGACGCCGAGGAAGAGCTCAAGAACGCCTTCAAGGTGTTTGACCGCGATGGCAGCGGCACCATCTCCGCCGAGGAGCTGCGCCACGTCCTGACCTCGCTGGGCGAGAACATGACCCCGGCTGAGATTGACGAGATGATCCAGATGGCCGACAAGGACGGCGACGGGTCGATTGACTGTATGGATCCGCTTTCCAGAGGCTTCATCTCCCCGTCGACGAGGACATCGTGCTGACATATGAGCCCAGATGACGAGTTTGCCTCGATTATGATGAGGGAGTAAAAAAAGGGGTACACGGCCGGGATATCCATTGTTCAGTGTTTATTGGGTTTATGGTCAGGTAATGCAGGTAGAATGAATCTGCTTTTTGGGCATACTCAGGTCTAGGTCCTTCAGCGCACCCGCACCTCATTTTCATGGATTTGGGGTTTGAACACCTTCCGCATATCCTCACTTACAGCACCTAGAAGGTTTAAATTGACCTATGCTAACGCATATCTCATGCTTCCTAACAGCGAGCCTGTCCTGCTAGCTTGTTTTCCAGCGTGTCCAACATACGTACGCGGCCGGTTTTCAAAAGCGTCGATAGACACACCACGGCCTTCCTACACTCATATCTGTCAGATAACCAACGGCACTACCACGCACAACCCAGCAGCCAAGGCAGCATGGTTAACGTGTCCCCTACGCGGTGCCGCAGCTGGCGCTCTCGTAGATGTGGGAGTCGCGCCATCTGATGTTTCCGAGACAAGGTCGTCTGTCCCCGTCTCCGTCGGCTCAGGCGGGTCCTCGCGAGACGTCGTTCCCAGGGCTGCGGCCGTGGTCTGAGGTTTGCTCGAGGTCGTTGCAAGGACAGCCGTCGTAGTCTGTTGCACGCTGGACGCCGTTCTCTCGGTGGAAGTGGAGCTGACGCCGCCGCCCCCGCCGCCGCCCTTACGACACTTGTTGACTCCGACACACGTCTCCCCGGCGTCGCAATACCAGCCGTCCGAGCAGCACACCGCGCCAAGAGGCATACACTTGGTCCCGCAGACGGCTTTGCCCGCACTACATTGCCCGTCCCCGCCACCGTTCTTACGGCAATTTCCACCTTGGACGCACGTTTCCCCGGTGTTGCAGAATCCTCCGTCGGAGCAGCATACCTTGCCGGACGGGCAGCAACCGTTTCCATTGCACTTCTCGCCTGCGTTGCAGTATCCATCGGAGCAACATACAGCACCGAGAGGCATGCATTTCGTTCCGCAAACGGTCTTTCCTGTTTCACACTGCTCCTTGCCCTCGCGCTTGCGGCACAAGCCACCCTCCAAACATATATCCCCAGCGTTGCAGTACTTCCCGCCTGCGCAGCACACCGCGCTAGAGGGTATGCACTTGGAGCCGCAAACGGCTTTGCCCACCCCACACTGCGTGCCACCACTCCCTTCGCTCTTGGAACAAAGACCGTCCGAGGTGCATGTTTCCCCAGCGTCGCAGTATTTTCCATCTGAGCAGCACACGCTGCCCAAAGGCATGCAATTGGAGCCACATGCGACCTGTCCGGCATTGCATCGCCCGCTGTTGTCGCTGGAGCAGCCCTCCGAAGTGCAAACAGTGCCGGTATCGCAGTACTTGTTATTCGGGCAACACACCTTGCCCTTGGGCATGCAGTTGAGGCCGCAGCGCTCCTGATTGTCGCCACATGTCGTCGGAGGCCCAGAGCAGACCTTGCCGCGCGGGCAGCACCCGTCCCCGGAGCAGTAGGCGTTGGCTTCGCAGTAGCCGTTGACGGGGCAGCAGTTGCTGCCGATGGGCATGCAGTGGTCGTTGCACCTGACACTACCGGTGCTACATGATCCGTCGACGGCAGCAAAGTGGATGGGGAGGCCGGAGAGTGAGGTTCCGGGAGAGAGCAGGGAACCCAAACTCTTGAAGGTCGGTGTTTCTTCGGCTCGAGCCGCGGGGAGCAGAATGCTGCTAGAGAGGGCTAGGAAGAAGGTAGGGAGCATCATGAGGAAACTCTGGGCTGACTTCCGATTTTGGTGTTGATGATGAGAACCACTGAAAGATCCGAAAACGAAGGGTTAAATGCTGCTTGCTCCCTTGGGGGCGGAACGAATGCAGTACATATATGTAAAAGGAGAGGGAGGGCGGACGTCATGGACAGACGGCATCTAGCACATTGGTACTCAAGCCATGGCAACACATATTGAGGCCGCGGGTTAAGCTTTTGGTCGATAATCGGAACGTGACGGGACTGGGGACTCTTTCTTAGTGTCTTGTCTGTGACGCCAGTTCTTCAGCTCCGAGTCCAGGAATACGGCGGCCGGGGAAAATGATATGCATGCGATAAAGGAAACCTTGCGGGGAACCTTAATGCGGATGTTTGCCAAGGCGACAGAGGGGTCGATCTCTAAGTAATTGGGCGGCGGGCTCACTTCCAGTCCAGGCAACTACCGTTGCGGAGGTAGCCCAAGCAGCCTATCCGGTCGCGTGGACTTTGTTGGTGTTGGGTGGATGTGAGGTTGGCGAGGGTGGTTCGCGTGCCAAATAAGAAAAAGGGGGGGAAGCGCCGGATGAAAGCAGGCTGGATACCTTTTCAAAATATGCCTTGCCCACGTTTCCCCTGCTTACCCAGTGTCGAAAACAAACGTGTGTATTGACGGCCGTAACCTAACTGACTGTTCAATCTGTTTATTGGGAAGAGGGAGGAAGAGGAGAACCGTAAAGAAGGAAATGCGGGAGAGAAGGGACTGCTCGTTCATGTGGGCGACCTATGGAATCGATTTTAATACCCATCTCTCTACTGAGGCGATCAAACAGAACAGATCAGACTCTAAAGCATATTGGCATTGGTTCTATCGCCGGCCCGAAAGCCGATTGCCTTGAAAAGCTGGGGATCCGACTTCCCGTTCGCTAACACATAGTCAGGTAAATGTTCTCACTGAAAACAGTATACCTCATCATGAACGGTCATCCACGAGACTGTATGGTAAACCATCTCAACTTAATTTAAACCATACGAACGCACCCACAGGAAACTCGGGATCCCGTCCGCTTGCCCCTATATAAGCCAGCGAGGGTTCCCTTAAATACCTCTGGTCGGCTGCGAGGGTTGAAATCACTTCCGTCGCAACCTCTTCCGTGGTTGAGGAAGTTATCGTCGGGCCACACCATCTTCCATTGGAGATGACTTGCTCTGTGTCCTTCAGCAGCTCCTTTCCGTCCACTCTTCCAAGTGCCGGCTGCGACAGGAGCCGCATCGTACTTAACGAGACATGGTCAGTATGCTGGATCACAAGATGGGAAGCACCTTATCTTCATGCTGCCAATGTCCATGGCGATAATGCCTGTGTCCTTCCGCATCCTCTTAACAGTGACGAGATGAATTTTGCAGTGTTATCGCAGCTTCATTTCACTGGTCGAGGGCGACAGACAACCTCAAATTTCCAAAGTTGCGCCTGCTCACAGAGTATGGAATGTTAAGAAAGGGAAACGGCTCGGAATCGAGGGCCTTCCGCAATCATCGCAGTGCCTTGAGAGTCCCATTGTTGCTCACGGTCGCTTCCTGTCAGTATCACTGAAACTAGCCGGACCTTTCTGCGGCTATCTTGTCGATTTCCATAAATCAATCATTGAACGTAGCCGTACACCCGCCTAGGCTTGCTAATATGTTCCATCTTACATGGTTTCCTCGAAATCCACGCAGTCTGATCGTAATCGGGAGCAGTATCATTATAATCACTCCGTTCATCCTTGAATCATCATCAAAGGGCGGCCTC